TGTGTCAAGATTGAAATATGTTGTATGACATGTCATCTATGTGCTTTTTATGCCATGTTCATGTGTCAAGATTGACTTGTGTTGTTTGACATGTCATCATACTATGTGCTATTTTATGTTGTGTTCATGTGTCAAAATTGACTTTTTCTGTATGTCATTTTGTGTCAAAATTGGGATATGTCAAGACATGTGCTATATCATGACTTGTTACTATGCATCAATATTATGTCATGAGTGATAAGATTTCATGTGATATGACATGTCAAGTATTATGTGCCAAGAATGACATGTGTCGAGTGATAAGATGTTGTGTCTTATGAAAAGTACAATTTTTCTAGTGGCATGTTGCTCTATTATGTCATGTCATGTTACTATATGTCAGAAGTGTTGACATGTCAAGTACTGTGTCAAGAGTAATGTGCTATATTGTGTTCAATATGTACATGTATTGTGCTATGTCATATTGATAAGACATGTGGCATATTACAACTTGTGTTACTATGCGTCATGACACATCATGATGTGTCACATGTTATTATGTGAGGAGTGATATATTTCATAAGTAATTAAAATGGTATTTATCTTGAAGGCATTAATTTAAAATAATTAATTCATCTTTTTTTGTGAACAGTGAATATGAGTTGTTCGACATAACTATAAGTATATTGTCTCAAAATTGTTATTCTGCGAACTTGTATTTCATCAGTATGTGTTTAAGAAACTCTTAACAATCACTCGCATGTATCATTCTTATGATTATGAGTTTTGGGTACTTTAGAACACGCTGAAAGACTTTTGTAACAAAACTTAGATTTCATTCATAATAATTATTATTACAATAAATCAAATTTACCAACAAATTATCAACATCTTAGGCAAATTATTTTAAGCCATCTAAATTTTACACAAGACTTATTTGTGTGATATGCGAGTCATGGACAACATATCCCATGTATTTTACACTGCAATTGGGCCATGCGTTCAAACGATCAGTTGCTATTGGGGGGAGGGGAGGGGTGCTGATGTACAAAATGGCAATTAGAGATTAACGTTTTTAATTTACAATGTAATTATTTCTTTGTGTGTTTAATACTATCTGTGAAATGAACACAGGCTGATTTCATCTTGTCCTATGTACAATTTACATGTCTTGAATAAAAATTAAAATAAGTCTTTAATTTTTTTTTTTTGCTGCCAAAGTTATCAAAAAAAGTATTCAAATCCATCGTGAGAATTTTTTCTCAAGTAGGTGGATTTTACAATAATTTACATATTGGTTGTTTCTGTAATGTCCATAACATGCATTTAAAAAAACAAAATGGCCGACAGTTGACCATGATTCAAAATGGCAGGCATATGTGATATTTCATAAGAGTACATGGAAGAAGTACTATTCATAAAGGTCTTCCTCCAAAAATTCACATCATGTCGTTTTCTAAGACACCACAAGTAATTTTTTACAGACCTCCTCATTACTGGGCAAGCAATAAATGTAAATAAAAGTGAAGAAGTTTTTATTGCATTCTGTTCTTCATTTCAATACTGAAAGTAAATTCCTCATAACATAGAATTTCAATACAGAGTTGTGAATCATTTTGAGGTCAAACGTTCTATCCAATTTTTGTCGTTTAAAAGCCTTCATAACAATAGAATATAATTACTATTGTTTTGACAGCACATGCACCAATACACTTTGCATCTCCTGCAGTTTGTTAGAGGTCAAAGGTCAGAACATTGAATGATATCACAACTTAGTACGACCACATGTGATCAATTTTCATCACACGTACTTGTTTGAAATTAAAGATGTTTTCAAATTAACTTGTCAATGCAAGTACAACTACTAGTAATCGTGTTTAATAAGTAAACTCAAAATGGCCCTTTTTGAGTGCTTTTATCACCGAAAAAGACAATTTACGTGAAATTAATCTTTCTTTTCCACCTTAGCCGTGGGTGTTCTTTCAGGTCGGCTTTCTTTTTAGCGTAATTTGTGAATCCAAAAATTAGCATTTAAATGGACACAATCTTGTCTAACCTTCACGTAACAAAGCGACTGATGATATTCCGATGGAATACACAAAACAGTAATCAGGTAATTGGATTTGAAACATTCGTTCCATTTATTAGATTGGGGGGGGGGGGTGCAGTCAAATGTTTCCAACTGGTGGCTGTTGTCATTCATGTCTCATTCAAAGCACCATAGCGATTGTTTGTCACAATTCTTGTATCCTGAGCAGAACAAAGAATTTCTATTTTTCATATTCTACCAAATGTCTAAAGATAAGTACTTCGATGTGAGACGTTTCTAGCTAATTTGCATACAAATTAAATTTCATCGCATGCATTTTGTACAAAGCAAGTTTGAGGCCTAAATGGTTGCATATTAATAAACAAAGAATTTGCTTCGTTTTGGCATCTTTTTTTTTTTTATGAGAGTACAGAGGACACAAGCCTTGATGTCAACACATCCTAAAACATACGTGGTCGAGACAAATGTGTTCTAGATTTTATTTCCACATTCCCCAGACTAAAAAGCATGCTTTCATTTTGTCACTATCGTACTGAAACAGACGAAAGGTGATTGCCATGAAATGCCACTCTTGTTTCTGCTTGTTCATACAATTACTGGGTATATTATTCATGATACTAGTTTGGGACAATGAAGCACATACATTGCATGTTCAATTTGTGTACGTGAATGCGACCAAAAGTTGTGTTCTTAGTTTTATATCAATGTGATGTCTGCACTGTTCCAGCAATTTGTGAGTCCTGAACAGATATTTTTTTTAAATGTTTCTGTTCCTGGCGACAGTTCTGGACATTGAATGTCACTGTTGTCTCTGCGGACTTTTTTTTTTGCAAGTGCTAGTGCTGACATAGTGCATTTTTTGCCACAGAAGTCGTACAATGTATTCATGTTTGAGACTACATGGCAGGGCTGTACAGTCGTCTCTCTATCAAATGGCAATTTAATGCGCTATCCTGGCATAAACCAGGCTCTGTTGTACACAAGCACCTGCGAACCTTAACCAAGGTTCCCTCACATATTTTTCCATTAACGATATCTCTTAAGTACAACAGCTAAACCTGGAAATCCGGAAAAGATCTAACTCCTTAGGGAAATAGAGCACAGAAAGATATTACATTTGTGTCCAAGCCAAGATGTTTTAGAGTATGGTTACCATAGTTACCTGTTAATATGCATTTAGCACTGTAGTTTCAGAGAAGTTAATTACAAAAGAAACATTTTGATTATAAATATTTATTTGACAAGACTGCTGAAAAAAGCAGAGAATACTTGTAAATGGTGTATTAAAACAATTATACAGTTTAGTAAAACAAATACTAGTAATTTAAAAAAAAAAATAATGGGTGGGGGGAATTTGTGATACTTGGTGGGTAATATAAACAAATGAGTAAATAAAACTGGGTGGGAGAATCAGTGATAATTTGTGGGTAAAATGATTTCTTCCCAAAACACACTATACATGTTGTGACGATGGTACAAGTCCACTGATTATCTGTGTCAATTAGAATACCATATCTGGTGATTGTTAATTTTACAGCCGTTGTAAATGCACGTCTAATGTGAATATTTGTAATATAATTTACTGGTATAAATAAAATGAGGATAAAATCAAACAAAATCAAGGGCCACAACAGATTTAATGTTGCATGTTCAGTCAACACAAGTGTGTGTGTGTGGGGGGGGGGCATGTCTCCCAACCCCATTGTGTGTACATTCAAGGTATTTAGAAATTGGTGGCCATTTTTTCATTTCAGATACATTATGCTATTTAGAGATTCTGCATGAATAAGTGAAATTTGAAAACAATTGAATCCATGTGAACAATTTCACCATAACAATAGAACATGTCAGTGTAAAATCCCAGTGAATATGATTAAAAATAAAAATAGTGAAATTATACACCAATGACAATTACCTAATATACAGTATTTCAGGCGACCTGTCCAAATTGTTTTTATTTATTAGATATATTACTTTTTTTTATTATTAAAATATATTATTGTAATAGGACTGAAAAGGACAATAGACAAAATCCTCAATTATTAATATAGTCCAAAAACTTATTTTCACCTTTCAAACAAAAATGAATTTGTTATATAGTTATAAATATGGGTAGATAAACAAAGTTGTATGCAATTCAAAATTTGAACAGTAAAATGTTCAATAGTTAAAAACTTTGATTTGTTGAATGTCAAACAGTGATTGGTTCCTTTGAACCAGGTGTAGTCATATCAGAGCCAATCATAGAGAAAGATACCAAATTCACAAGTTCAGCCTCAAATCGATATTTGTGATTATGGATCACAATGAACAACTTTTTCATTGAAACATAATTTTGTAGCAAGTTATTCAGCTTGACAACTGCTTAAGCCACAAATATTTTGATGACAACTCAACTCAGTAGCCAATGAGCAGGATTGATATTAGGGACACCTGGAAAATTGACCAATCACAAGAGTTTTTTACCAATTCAAACATCAGAATGAGTTGTATGTATTGCTATTACTGAATAAAAAACAAAGCAAATAAATGGATTAAATACAGAAGCACAATTTTAAATTAACAGCACTGTAAACACCTACCTGAGAGTTGAAACAAATATAAATGATAAATATTAACTTTAATACTTAAGCTAAACAACTCTTCTACTTCTAAACAATTTGCAGTAACAATGTTCATTCATTCATTCTGAGTAATATTTTCTGGATTGAAAACTTTACATTCTACTCACAAGAAAATGCTTAATTCTCATAGGCTAGTTATTGAAATACTAACAGGTGGTCAACCATAATCAGCCAATCAATTAGCTCGAATTTCCATACAAATGAAACTGATTGGCTAATCACTGACAATGTAGTAGGTGGTTAATCAATGATTCATTTATTTCAAGAATGAAGCGGTACATAGTCAGAAAAACAACTTTATTTCTGCATTATAAAATGTCAACTTCATCGATAGTTTTTGTCCCTTCGTGTTCTATTTAACGTTTCCCACACATCGGATATCACATCATTTAACTTTAACAAATGCAGCATTTGTAGATCAAGATTCATGTACATCTCTCTGATAGGCAGATGAAGTCACAGCCAAACAATGTCGCAAATACTGGAATCAAACAACAGTACTAACAGGTGAGATATATTTCTTCTTTATCAACTGTTTATTTTTCTCCCGTGCCATGCAGATTAAGCGTTATTTGATTACCACGTTATTTTCCTGAGATATGATTGTCCAATCATATTATGGTTAAGTTTAGGGTGATTTCATACGAGGAGGTGATATCAGCTATGGTGTAGAGGAAAATATGTTCTTTTCAGTCTGCAGAGGTATTTGTTCACATCTGTATAACTGCACAAAACGGGTAAGAATTCCATGCGTAAAATGTATTTTACACGTCCTGTATATACAAAACATGGGATTCAAAGATAATGTGGTGCGAAGACTGACACTTTAAAATATAGTACATATGGTACATATGGTCTCAGCTGATGAGCGCATGCACACAAGGTGAACACGTGCATATAACTGCAGTTAACGCACATAAACGTACAGTGTTTCACGGAAGACAAATCAGGTTCTTTCCTTCCAGTATCTCAGACTGTACTTTATCACTGGAGGTTGAGGCATCTGCTTGGATTGATAGAACAGCGCAAACAAAGGCAAGACATGTTGCACCAATTGCTGTATAAAAAGCCCATCCCGGATGACAGTCACCGATCTGGAAAGCACCGGCATCCTCCCCACACAGCTCTTTAATTCTCGGAGCACCCCATCCAGCAGGATACAGAACTAATCCTAGAATCAGGAAAAGGCCTGGAATGGAAAAAAGATAACATTTTAATAACATAGTTATAGTCAACACAAGAAACAAGTTTACAATAGATACAATTATGATAATTAATATCACTTAAATCAGTACATGGGTGAAAAGGTGACAAATATTTATTATAACTATGCCAACAGAGGGCGCTCTTTACTTATTCATTTGCAAGGCACCAAATTTGGAAATGTTATAATCCTCACATTATAAAATTATTGTTTTTTGCACACAATGCATATAGCACCATGGAATGATATTGTGATATAAAAAGGACATGCAAGAAAATTTCATTTATTTGCCATGCTCAGTAGATTATATTTTGTAAAATGCATTAAATATACTCACTACTTTAATTTCATTATTTTCACTGATAATGAAAATCCACTAAAATTAACTTGTATTAAAATATCAATACTCATTGTTTTCTTGCCAAATTTGTGAACTTAAAATCGTGTAAGTATACTTCAAAACATTTTAATAGTGAAAATAAATAGTTTTACAGTACCAGTAGATTGGATATTTCAAGTCTTACCCGGTACATGCTAAATTGAGTACGAAAACTAGAACTGATGTAATCATAGAGGGCGGTACAACAAGTGAAAAAGATTATTTCAATGCCACAAAAGTTATAATACGTCCTTCACGATTTTAGTTTTCGTTTACTAATTTGTATGAATTGAACATTAATTAACATCCTCATGAATAACTAATCGTATGATATAATGCTCAGTAATGCATGATATAATGCTTAATAGTGAAATCATTGAAAACAAATGCTATTCACATTAACACAAACATTTCTCACAGAATGATGAGAATGAAAATTTTTTCAAAGATATTAGTGAGAATGATTAACACCTCTCGTCATCCGTGAGACAGTGGTGTAGCAGTCACTTCTTATCCAGGGTGACTGTTACGGTACATTTAATACTTTATCACAGATCATCACTTCAGTCAATTTAAACTAAATCAATCAATCATTTCTGGACTTACAAATAACAAGTTGATGTCTAAATATATCCAGACATTATGATGAGAAAATTGTCATTTTAATGAAACATTAATCATGATTATTTTTCTTATACTACAACATTAATGTGTCTAGAGTTGCCCAGATATCTGCAAACACACGCTAGCAAACTAATTATTTTGTCAACAAATTGGATTTCATTTTATGACAGTTGCAGCCCGCCAGGTTACTAGCTCTATAATCAGTGTGTGGCCATGGAATATTAATCGATGCATCAATTGAAAAACATTAGTACATATTTACTTTGCTTAACTCTACTTTCACTGTTACCCAGGAAGTGGCAGGGATGGACATGCGGCAAAAGAGTTGTCTCATATTTTACATGATAAATAATATCTGGATGGATAGACTGGAGAATGTAGACAGGAGAGAGTAGTTTACATCATAAGTGTAGAACCATAACTAACACCAATTATCACGCACGCACGCACGCACACACATGCACACGCACGCACGCACATGTACGCACACACATGCACGCACACATCACACACACACACACACACACATAGTGATTCAGAAACCATTCATAAATTCTATGTTTAGGATTATGTATAACGGGGATGTGTAACCATTTTCCTATCTGGTTGAACACAAACACCTGCCAATAAGCAGTCCCAAAGACGTAATGTAATAGTGAATAATTTCCAGCTATTAGATTTGCCTCTCCACTTCAGTAAGCAAAAGATTTGCTAGAAAGTTTGGATCTCTTTTTGTATTCAATCACAGATCCAGAATTTTAGCAATGACTACAATAATGAATGCCAACTTGTTTCTCTTTTGTCTTTTGTCAAGCTGAAATGTCAGGCAGGCCGTCATTCAAGTTATCACATAGTAACGTGTACAGTTTACATTAAGGCTTGTCTGATTCAACTTTCCGCTTCACATTTTACCCACCATTAGCTCTCAGTTGATGTACTCCAGAACTAAAACACCTTTTGAATCGAGCCAGAACTAAGCACTTCCCCCAAATCTCCAGAGACACTTGGTAACTTAGTTTTAATTGAAAGAACTAAAAAGGTAGAATTCCTTGGACGCACTGTGCATATCAACTCTTCATATTATGTTACCAGTACAGTCTACACAACA